TGGTGTATGATGAGTGGTGTATGATGAGTGGTGTATGATGAGTGGTGGTTGAACAGCTGTTGAATGTCCGTAACACGGAAGTTTTGCACACTAAACTTCCTTTGATTATAAATTATTGTAACTATATATATAGTAACAAGAAGGTACTAGGAGCAAAGGGCATCGCTACTAGGAGCATTCTTACTACTAGTAACAAGAAGCTACTTATCATTATACTGTTCATTTCTCTGAACGATTCTGCACGAGTGAAATCGACTGTACCGATGTCACCTTCATCGAATTTCTCGAGTCTCTACCTCAGTGATGTTCTTTCCACTGAGATGAACGCAGGGAGGCGACGCCCGGAGTAACCGTGGCGCCATCGGAGTGTTTCAAACGTCCCTCGCGGTCCTCCAGCAGTCCGTCGACCTGAGAGATCTTTGGCTCAGGACCTCAGAGTCTTGGACACCGGGCCCTATGCGGGGCCTCAACATTAAACATTTGAACCGAACTTGAGATTTTGCTTTCGATGTAAAGGAAATCTCAAAAGGCAAAACCAGCCCACGAACCCGAATGACATTGATAGAGCGGCATAGCATTGTGTGACACGCTTGGCACCCTTGACAGACTCTTGAATCAAATGAAAAAGAGTCTGGGATTCCTGGGATGACACTTTGTAGGACACGTTTGTGCGACACTTTGGCTTGACACTCTCGAGTTTCGAAGACGACACGCTTGTGCCACACACACATGTGGGACAGTCGTGCGCGACACCCTTGCTGAACACTTTTGTAGGACACTCTTCTGATCTCTTCCGGGACACTCTTGGGGGAAACTCTTGTTGGACGCTCTTGTGGGACACCCTTGTAGGAGAGTTTTGTGGACTCTCTTGTAAGGCGCTCTTGTTGCGCCCTCTTGAATACGGGACCTTTGGAGGACACTCTTGTGAGCAATTCTTGTAGGTCTCTTTTGAGCGACACCAGGGCTTGTGGGGCGCTCCTGTAGGACACTCTTGGGGACTATTCTTGGGTGTGGGACTCTCTTGTGTGTGTTGTTCTTGGCGGAGACTCTTGCCGTACACCTCGTTGACACCGCAAACTGTCCCGTTCACCAGCAACATTGCGCTTGCCACTCCGCGCAAACGCACTTTGCACACCATTCCACCCAAGCCGCGCCAACCCACATGCACAGCGTCATGAAAGACATAATTTCGCCGCACCATACCCAAAGTGGACACATCACTGTATAGATTATCCGGCCCTCCCTTTTCTAGCACAGAAACGGCGCGACATGCAACTAGAAAATGCGGGCTACAGATTGCAAAAAAGAACCTATGAAAAATTGGACATCAAAAAACTGCCACTGGAAAATGCCTGACATAACCTCCTTTAGAACATCAAACAATATACTGTACCTTGAGGGTCATGTCTTCGATTTAATAGTGGGTTCATGGGCGTCGCTTTCACGCTCGATCAACTCACTGCAAGATGGGAAACTCAACGATCTTACTCTTCAGAAAATCTCACTAGAAAATACCTTTCATGAGCCCCCTGCCTTGAAAATACATCATAAAACGACTGTTGAAAATGGGTGGTTCTATGTGGTTCTGGAAGGCCTTCTTTATAAGTGAACATTGACATCAAACTGAAGTTTATAGAAAATGAGTGGTTTTGAAGCAAATACCAGGGTAGGTTACTAAAAAAACTATCTTCTGGTGGCCTCAAGGCCACCAATTTCCCCTCGAACTTTCACACAGGGATGTGGCAGACACCAACTTTCTCCACCGAGGCCGCACCAAACCTGAAAATACAGCAGCTTCTTGCTACTAGTAGTAAGGCCAGGAGCCACTAGTAGCGTCCTTGTTCCTAGTAGCGATGCCAAGAGCCCCTAGTAGCGTCCTTGTTCCTAGTAGCGATGCCAAGAGCCCCTAGTAGCGTCCTTGTTCCTAGTAGCGATGCCCTTGTTACTAGTAGCTTGAAAATACAGCGCAGCGACGTCACAAATAATTTCGCCACGCGGTTGCCACAGACTCGGTGCAGGACATCAAGCCTCCTTGACACCGCAACGTGTCCCGCTCACCATCTCCGGTTCCCCAAGGGCGCGGAGCCATGAAATGCAATTTCCACCGAGGTTGCGCCAAGGCGTGTGGCAGAGCAACACCACTGACTTGGTCGCACCGCGTGCCAGCCCTGAGCCAGCATCTCCCTACCTGTGTATTTATATAATACTGTACTTATATTTGCCAGTTCCAAGCCCGGAGCTCCCAGAAGCCACTCCCCGCAGTACATTGGCATTACGACGTTGCGTCTTCCAAGACCAGAGTCCCCAGAAGCCACTGCCCGCACTACACTTGTACTACAAAGTTCTGAGTCCAGTGCTCCCCAAAAAAGCAATTCCTGCACTACACTTGTACTACAAAGTTGCCATTTCCGAGCCGGGAGCTCCCAGAAGCCGCACTACAAAGTTGCTAGACCCTTTTACAATTGTGGTAGTAAACCAGCGACCCTCGGGTTCAAGCCGGCTCTATATAACCAAGCCTCCGGGTTGCCAGGCATTTGTCACAAAAACGAGTACTAGAAAGATCTATAAAGTATATAGTTTCTCTATAGAATCAAGGGCGGCTGGTTTGCATATAGATCCGATCAAATAGAAATAGAACTCCGATGAAATCTCCGATCAATTTTGAACATTACGTATTCGATGACATCTTTAGGAAACAACAACAGTTATCTTATGAGTTTTGTTTACAGAACGTTTGCTCCAGGAATATTTTCATATCGCATCCGATCGGATCGGAAATTTCAGGCACGTGAATCCGATCGGACAAATTTCTGATGAATAAACTCATCGGAAAACACAATCGGATAATATCGGAGATTTGGACCGACTTGGATCGAACCTAGGATCAAACAGTTTTCAGGACATTTCAACCGGATTGGGTGCCATCATATTTTTCCGGTTAAGTTATAGAAGAACACAAGGACGCATACCCGGGGAGGCCATTCTCCAACTCTATAGAATCAAGGTCTTTGGACACCCTTCAAGCTTGTGGGGAAATTAGACACCCCCAGAGGCCAACTCTAGCAAGACTGGGAACATTGTGGTGCTGTGGAGGCGTTTTGATTAATTTTTGAGGCTCTGTTTCAAGCCAACACAACAAGACAGACCTGCGATGACCGAGCATCAATGGGCCACAGTAGATGGTTGATGGAATTCCGCAATTTCAATACCCACAAAAACATGTCACCCCCACGCCCCCCAATCTCAACAGTGTCTAGACTAGAACACCTAAGCAAGAGTATAGATCATGAACGAAAACAAAACCTCTTATATATATATATTACAACAGAAGACCAGCTGTTGAACAATGTTGAAGAGGATCCCTCGCAAGACATTAAAATTGGGGGTGCGAGGTGAAGCTCGCCGGTGTTCTTGCAAGAGATGACAACAACAGGTGGCCGTTACAGGGGATGTGGATGTTCCGGGCAATTTTTGAATATATGCTATACATTTTCTGTGGCTTCAGGAACTTTGAAGACAAATTTGGTCACCTTGGGATTGCCAGGGCCGGTTGCGCATCTTGCGGTGCTGCTAGAATTTTCCGCAGGGCGCTTCCAATCCATCGAGTTTTCACAGGGCTGTACCAGTGCTGCACCTTCCTCGTTCCAGTTTTCTTCTCCAGGTCCCTCCTCCTAACTCCTTTCTTCCAGATCCCTTGTCCTCGTTCAGGTGTTGATTTGTCAGGTCCCTCCTCCCAGTTCCTTTTTTCCAAAGCCCGTCTCCAACTCACTTCTTCCACGTCACTTGACCTATTCCTTCTCCCAGCTCCCTTCATTCCACCTGCCGAAAAACCCTTCTGCCACATAGACGTGCCGACCGCTTTTGCAGCTTGCTTCTCCATAGTCTTCCAAACTCTCCAACAATCTTCTCCTCCACTCCCTGCAAGTCTTTCATATGCTATGGACCCCAAAACAATTGCCAAATCGGGGATTTGTTTGTGAAGCTAGTCCTAGGTGGCTTGTCAACCCCGAAGTCCTGATTCTATATAGCGAGTTTTTGATTCCCGCAAGATGTCCGTTCAGGGTGGGATGAGGCAAGGGAGGTGGCAAAGAACCAAACAATAGAGACTACAAATGATGTGTTTTATCCAATGTTTTGGCACCTTAAAAGGTTTGTGTTTTGATTCTATAGAGGGCACCATTAGGCTTTGGCGGTAAAATGGACATCCCCAAGCCCTAGCAAGTGGGTGGCTCTGTGAACCGGGGTCCTGATTCCATAGAGATGGGTGGTCATGATTCTATACAGGGAGATTCTGCTTCCCACAAGGTGTCTGTTCCGGAATGGAGCAAAGTGCCAAAAAAAAAAGTTTCCAAACATTATGAAACGTCCAATGGCTTGGCCCGGCACTGCAAAGGGAAATGGTTTTAATTCTATAGAGGGCACCCTTGCAAACAAACTCCAGCAAGAGACTGGGAGGGTTGTGGTATTTGAGCGTGGTTCTGGGTGGCCCTGCGAACCTGATTCTATAGAGGGAACTTTTCCAGTGTTTTGGCACTTCAAGAGGGAATGGTTTGGATATAGAGGGCACCCTCGGGCTTGTACGGTAATTGACTATAGAATCAACCCCACATGTGCCCACAAACAACCGACCACTATAAAATCATGGCTCCAATGTACACACAAACAATCTAACAAACCATTCTCAAAAACATCAATACCTCATGTACACAAAGAAAACCTAACAATACCTTGACCTTATACAATGATAACCACCGTGTACACACGAACAATCTAACAAGCCATTAAACCTCTGTAAGATCCAAGTCCCCACACAAAGAAAACCAAACAACTTGTTGCATTAAAGGAATAGTCTAAAGAATCCGTGTCACTCGGGTTCTTTGTTACTTCATCTGTGGGGGGTAACACGCTCCATTCAAGTCTCACTCGTGGATGCGGAAGGGCGTTGGGTACTATGGAATCTTAATCACAGCGTCAATTCTATAGAGCATTGAAGCGATTCTCTTTAGAATCGTGATGCTGAAGTATCACCATTCTAACTCACCAAGTTTTTTCGACAAAATGATCATTTCGATACCTGTGTGCCATGATTTTCTAGAGGAAGTTGTAAGGGATACGGATGGGTACGGTAATTATGTTGCTAGTTCCTTCAACAAGTCACGTGTCAAGTCTTCAAAACGAGCATTCCTTACGAGACGTTCTCCAAAAGTGACGTGGGAAGTCTCACCAAAGCGAACACAGCATGCAGCCCTGCCAAGCTAAGCAGTTTTGCAACCCAAGCCGAAGCTCCTCAACTCCTCAAAAGCACAGCCGCTGACATGCCAATATTTTTGATGTTATAGCGACGCAAAGCGCAGACCTTAAAAAAAACGTCACCTGCACAATGATAATTTGATATACCTTGCTACCTCGATATGCAAACCTCTCAAATTTCATGCAAATAGCAGCGCTTCGCGCCGCTCACCCATCCATGCACAACCTCTTAAGCCCGACCTAGACTTCAATGATCACCACGTCTATCTCCACAAACGGGGGTGGTTTGATACATTTCGGCTAATGTATGCTGATGGGGGGACAGGTGTTGAAAAGGCATTTTCGAAAAGTGGGGGTTTAACATACAGAAAAAGGATGTCGCAAAATTTTCGTGTTACCTCGGCGTTTCTGGAAACACTGTCTTGGGGAATGTATGCCGGGGGGAGGGATGCACTCTCTATGCACATCTATGAACCCATGGGGGCGAACCATTATGGAAGCTTATTTTTTGGATAATGTGTGAAAGCAAGGGGGGGAAACCGCCCTGAGGACGCATACTTTTTTCAAGGAAATGTATGAAAGGGGGCAGGGACATTCATAATCATCCTCATACCCGAAAATGACATCTGGAGACCCGGACATGTATATTGAGAGGGGGGGTACACCCTCAGACTGACAAAGTTGAACGAAAGCCCTTCACTACACATTCGGGAAAATCACACTCAACATGCAGTACCACACACAACACTTTTGGCAGTGTTTAGACGGTGGGTTGTGAAATGTTGTGAAGAAGAAACCAAGTAGGTAAATTAAGCTTAGAGGACAAGGAGAAGGATGAGGTTAGCTGCTAGTGGCTCTCAAGCAAGAAGCTACTAGTGGCAAGGACGAAGTAGAGCGATGGTAATTCAATCAAGTTCCTTCTTTGCCGTCAAAGAACCCTCGCTGCATGAAACAATTTCGATATGTGTCCAAACATGTTTTCTCGTCATGGACAAAGACATGTAGTGACACATAGTGTGATCTTGTTGGCACACATTCTGTACAACACTCTTGTGATCTTGCCCGCTATCCAGCCTGTTGTATTTCACTGAGCATCCTCCAACATTTGCGACAACGCTTCTAGGGCATGTACTGGGAGCCGCATTCCTGGCACCAGTTTGATTGTGTGCAACCAACACCTTGATCAAGAATCTCTTTTCAGTTGATATGTCTGCAACTGGAGATGTTGGCTTAGCATTTTTGCCAGCAGACCACCAGCTGGCAAAGTAGAGTGGCAAAATGTGGCAAAGCATGTCAATGTCAAACATTGTCAATGTCTAAAGTTTTCAAAAGCTCTCCAGCTTGGGTGTTCATGGTAGCTTTTGTAACTGTCTCTTCCTGTCCCTCCGTCCCTCCCTACCTCCCTCTCCCTCCCTCGCGCTCTCTTTTTCCTCCCTCAAGAGCGCGTTCCCCCCCCTCCCTCCCTCCCTCCCTCCCTCTCTCTCTCTCTCTCTGTTGTATGCACGTCACTGTATTGTTTTCCTCTGGCAGCTGTCCTCAGGCTAAGCTAGGCTCAAGGCCTTTGATCCAGAGTGCATTGTCAAGCACCAAGCTGTTGTACATGAACACTACCATGGAGTAAATATGCAATTGTACCAAAGGTTGTATCTTGACACCGTCCCTTGGTTTGATTCATTGTCGAATCACACCATCTCTATAAACATTGTTGAAACCGTAAAGAAACATTATTGTACATAAACGGCTCAAACATTGTCAGCAAGTCTGTACAGATGTTCTCTGCCTCTTGTGTCTCCAGCATTGTTGCCTTCTCTCGTCGTTGTGCTCGTGGTGCACGTGGGCACTGCAGATTGTCGGACCTTTGTTCTAGCCCTTCGTGTCCTCCACATTGTCTTCTGGAGCTTGTCTGGGACGCTTTGTCCCCTTCTGCTCTTCCTCATCTTCTGACTTCTCCACCTCAATTGTGTGATCGCGCTCTTTGATATGGCTGCTATGGTCAGGATGACCGCGCTGTTATCTCTTGGGGGTTGTCACATGATATGCATCAATCTTCTTCTCGGCCTTGTACACTCCCAAGGCCAATTGCACATCTGCTGGAAGTTGTGATTGACCATATTGTCCCAAGTGAGTCAATGCCATTCAAAAGATTGTGTGGTGAGGCGAGTCTTCTGAGATTGTCAGCATTGTCTTCACATGCATGTCTTTCAAACTCAGAAAGCAAAACTTCAAACACATTGTTCATCGAATTGTTCTACGAAATGACAAAAGAAAGATCGGATCCATTGTGGGACTGAAAATCTTGTAGTACATATTGTCTATGACATAGTGCGCGCATAGTAGCCAGAGTAGTGTGCAATGGCTTGATGCCCCCGTGTGTGTGTATTGTACACGCATAGATGCTGCCATGGTTGTGAAACTGTCCTGTACGGCCGTTGTTCAGTTGTGGTGTTGTGGGCGTTGAATGCCCGCCATGTAGAGGTGTTCGTTAAGCGCCTCTGCCGGGACATACTTTGTCAGTATGTCTGCTGGGTTGTCATGTGTGCTGATCTTGTGTATTGATAGAACCCCACTTTCTACCAGTTGTTGTACGAAGAGGTATTTTAGGTCAATGCGCTTTGCTTTCTTTGATGGGCCAATTCTTGTTGCTATGCTCTTTCCACTTGCGCTGTCGGTATGTATGCGAATGTTCACCTTTGTCGTGGTTGCTTCTTGCTCCTGCGCCAATTGCATAAAGCTCTGATTCTGCTGATGACAGTGCTACCCCTGCTTGTGTCCTGCTTCCAAATTGTACCACCGATCCCATCATTGTCACGACGAGTCCACTTGTTGATTTCCTTGTGCTTGGGCATCCTGCCCAGTCCGCATTGACATAAATGTTGAGGTCGATGGGTTCCTTTGTTTGTGGTGTGTGTGTGTTGTCCTCAGGATCATTTTGTAGTGTTGCGTTCCCCTGAGGTATCGTAAAGGATGCTTCACCTTGCGTAGGCTGTGTTGTGTTGGTTGTTGTAGGTCTCGCGCCAGTTCTTTTGCTGCAAAGCTGATGTCTGGTCTTGTGTAGGTCAGCCATTGAAGCCTTCCTACCGCTCTCCTGTAGTCTGCATGTTCTTGTGCGTCCAAAGGTGCGTCATCGTTTGTGGATTGTTTCAGGGTTGCCGTCCCTGGAGCTGATGCTGGATTGCTTGTTTCCATTTTTGTTTCTATTCTGGCTTGAGGCTCACCTCAAAGTAATCTCCATTGTTGTGGAAGTCTCTGCCTAGGAGTTGGATTGTCTGACCAATTCCCAGTGTGCCAGTTGGTCGTAGCAGTAATGCTTTTGTACTTCTTTGAAAGTCTTGTCGACTTCTTGTTGTTGTCCCAAGAATAGTAGGTCATCTACGTAAACCATCACAAACATCGTCTGTTCATTGTTTCTGTACACGTTGGGTTCACTTGTCAATCGAGACAATCCCATTTGTTGTAGGACTTGTGCAAAGTGATCCTGCCACGATTTAGGACTCGATCGTAGTCCACAGATTGCTTTGTCGAGCTTCCACACCGTGGTTGTCTTGTGACCACTTGGGTATAGTTCTGGTGGTGGCCACGCGTAGAGATTGTCTGTTGCTGCTGGTGCACGCAAGAATGCTGTTGATACATCTCCTGCTTGTATTGTCCAGTGGTTGCGCTGCGCCATTGTCAGTAGGATACGTAAGATCCCAAAGATTGGCGTGCTTGCATAGATGTTGTCAAGGTCTTTGATTCTTTGATCGTTTCCAAGTAGCCTTTTGCTACTATGCGGCATCGCGCTTCATCTTCTTGGGGTTTGTTAACCCACTTGCATTCTATGATCCTGTTCTTGTGTTCTCCAGGCACATCATTGTAGTACATCTCTGTGAACACTCCTTGCGTCTTTATCGATTGCGCTTCTTTCTTCATTCCTTGTTGTACTTTCAATGGATCAAGACCTTCATTGTCGTAGACGAAGGGTTCTTGTAGCATCCTTTCCACTTCTGCTTCTCGTTCCTCTTCACAGGATGCTGTGGTGATCTTGTCACCTTTCTTTGCGGTGATTGTCACTGCTTGTATTCTCATCTTTGCTTTTGGTTGTTCTTCATCTCGTCCTCGGTTTGCTGCTGCTGAGGACTGTGCTGTCCTCAATTGTTTGGATTGTGCTTCACTGTAGGTTCCTCATATTGTCTCTTGCTTGTTGGCGGCATTGGCAGTGGTGGTCTTGTCACTGATGCTGGTGAGGTTGCCAAATGGTGATGTTGCCATTGTTGCATCCATAGATGGACGCTGCATAGCTCCTGATGGCAGTGCCAATGGTGCATCTTGTGGTGTCTGTGTACTTGTGTCTTCCACTGTAATGTCGGCTTGTGTGCCAATTGCTTGTCTGCTTGCAGTGTTGTCAGCTGGAAGAAGCAATTGTGGTGGAATTGCCATTGGTGAAATTGGCAAATTCCATGGATACACATTGATCGTATCCAGTAGTTGCTTGTCGTACTTGTCTGGCATGATCTGTCTTCGTATTGTTCTTGCTTTGATGACCTTGCCAGGAATGCCAACTATTGACTCTCCTGTCATTGTGTCTCTGCCAAGCCAGATTCCTTTGAAGAATCTTGGTTCCATCTTGGGCTGTGCTTTTGTTGCTGGTATCATGTATTGTACTGTTTCTGCCATCTCGCATAGTGGTGCTTTGTGATCCTTTTGCCATCGTCTTTGGTAACTTGTTTGTCCGTCATTGTGCATGGCATACCTGTTCAGTAGCCATGCCGCACGCCGCACAATCCACGGCGTGATCGGGTGTTGTACGCTCAATGTAAGTTGTAGCTTGCGATCACTTGTTGTACCAGTGCTCGGACTTGTCCCGTCAAGGTGCGATGGAATCATTCAATGCTTCCTTGCGATTGCGACGAATACGCCGGTGATTGTCGGATGTTGACGATGTTCCCGGGCCTTTGCGCGACGGCTTTCAGTAGGTCCTGTATGTATTCTTCTTGGTCTGACTGTAGTGTTGTGGTTGATAGCTAGTGTTGCTTGCGCTCGTCCACATTCAAACATGAATGTTTGTAGACATCGTCTCACGTACTGTTGTTGTTGTTGTTGTTGTTGTTGTTGGTTCTTGTCTTGTACAAGAACTGCCATTGCCATACCTGATTCGGCATCTATTGCTGTCAGTACTGGTAGTACTTGTTTGTCTCCAAATGCGTTCATATATGTGAAGTCCACTTGCCAGTTGTATCACTGGTTGTTTGCTTGCTTGTCTTGGACGATTGCCTGTTCTTCCTTTGCTCTTGACACATATTGGGCACCATGAACGACACGGTAAATGTGTCAGCTCATGTTCCAGTCTTTCTTGTCTTGTTGGTTGTTGTGGCGCCTTCATTCCTTTGGCGCGTTGCGCTTGTTGAGATTCATCTTCATTGTCCGTGTCGGTCTGAGTCGTCCAATATCTGGACCATCGTCTGTTTGTTGTGGTACGTACATTGTCGTCCGTACCTGTACGTGAACACGGTTCCAATAGTGTCCTTCACTGATCCAATTGTTGTTGGTGTCATTGTGGATGGATCAGGTATTGCCATGGTTGTTGGAGCTGGCTTCTTTGTTGTGCGTCTGTATAGTGGGTCTCTGCTGACCTGTTGCGTTGTTCCGGAAGTTGTAGCGCTGTTGATTGTTGTCGTACTTGTAGCGCTTTCTCTGTCTTCTCTGTTGACGGTGTTGTAATCGACGGTTGTGCTGGCGGCTTGTTCACTCTGAACCATGTTTCTCCTGTCCATGTATCTCCTTGTATCACACGTCGTTGTTCATGCTTGCTCAAGTCATGGTATTGTTCCACAATGTCCTCGTTGTTTCCGTCGGTTCGTCGGACGATTGTCCGTCTGTAGTTGCTCAATGTCTCCAGTGGTACTGGGCAATTGTCGTCAGGAACAAAGAGTGCCTTCCTCTTGTTCCGGTGATACCGTGCAAGGTATCCTTCATTGTTGTAGTTCCAATAGTCGCTGTTGCCTCCAAGGACTTGTTGTGGTCCATGTCCTGTGAGTGTTGTTGGGGCAATCATTGCAATCATGCCCTTTTGTGTATGCCTCAGCTGTAGTTGTTGATGTTGTCCCAGGTCCATGATTGTTGCTGGCAAGTAGTAGAGGCTGTGCTGTTGCACCAAGGGAACATTGAATCCCTTGTCATGGCGCATTGTGGGAGTGTCCTTGAACCTGATGTCAAAGCCTTGTTCTGTCAGTCTTGTCACTGACAGGATTGGGTCATGGATGTCACACACATAGAAAGGTATGAGTTGGTTGTCCTCTGGATTACATGTAGACCCATCTCACGCCATAGCATTGTATTGTCTTATTTGTCACTGTCCTGAGGTTTGGACTTTGTGCTTGGTCGATCTTGTACACGGGATAGTTGTCTGCGAACCATAGTGGGCAAACATGTGTGGTTGCTCCACTGTCGATCATGATGTCTGCTGCGCCGCTGCTTGTCGTAGATGACTTGTAGTCATTGTCATGGCAATGACATGGATTGGTGTCATATCGTGGTTGCTTGTGGATGGAATTGGCGGAAGTGCCAATGGCGGTTGTGCCTGTTGTTGTCTTGTGTAGTCCTGAAAGTACCATCCATTGTCATAGTAGTCGTCGTGCCATTGTGCTGTCGTGTCTTCAATGTCATTGCTTTCTCCTTGTCCAATGTCATGTATTGCCACTCGGCAGTCTTTGGCATAGTGTCCAGTTCGTCCACATCTGTAGCATGTGTCTGTTGCTTGTTTTCCTTTGTTCTTTCCCTTGCCTTTGTTGTATCCTTTGCTGAATCCTTTGTTTCCTTTGTTGCCTTTTCCGAATGGATTGCCAAAGCCAATCGGAACATTGTTGTAACTGTTGAATCCTTTTCCTCCATCCTTTCCTTTCCCTTTGTAGCTGTTGTTGTAACTGTGGTAGCCGTAGCCGTTGTATCCTCCGTAGCCTTTGCCTTTGTTCTTTCCTTTCCTTTGCCCTTTCCTTTGTAGTTGTTGAGTTGTATTTGCCTTTTCCTTTGTGGATTGCATCAATGTCCATAGGTGCTTGTCCACCAGCGAAGCTTGTCGCCACGCTGGATGATTGTGTTCGTAGTTGTTGTAGTTTGCTGAACGCTGTTGTTGATCGTTTGCTTGACTCGTGCATAGCTTGGGCTTTGTCCTGAAAGCAGTTGTAGGTGTTGTTGTAGTGGTCCACTTGTTTCATTGAGCAGTACGGCAATCTTCACAGAATCTGGGAGTGTTTGTCCATTGTCTCGTTCACATCGTTGTAGCTCAAATTCCCATGTTGAGAATGATTCTTCGACTTTGCTCCTGTCAAATGTTGGCTTCAATAGTCTTGTTAAATGTCCAATGGATCTTGTCCCCAATGGAATGGAGAAGCGGATGCACAATTGTCGTTACATTTCGAAGCCAATTGTATGTTGGTATTGTCTGCACACTGTCGCTGCGGCTTCTGTTGTTGTGTTGATGAGGATGTACCTCAAATCAGTGCTGAGGCGAACATGCCGTTCACCATCTTCAGTTGTTGATGCTGCTGTTCGTAATTGTAGTTCTGTGAGTTCTGCTGTGGCTTGTTCTGCTGCTTGTAGCAAATCTGTGTAGTCGTTGTCTTGCAATCCTATGTGTGCTGTGAACTTGTATTTCCATTCCTCGAACGTGCCATAGTCTCCATTGAAGAAAGGCGGCTTGAGTTTGTATCTGTTCATGTTTGCCATGTCTGTAATTGTCTCATCTTCTGGGACTGGAGGCAGGTGGTCTCCTCCAGCTTGAGCTGCTGTTGTTGCTGCCATTGTTGCAGCTGTTCAAGCTACCTGTTGTAGGGTCAAGGCTTGTCCTCTGTTGTCTGTGCTTGTGTGTGCTTGTTCCTGTTGTAGTATTGGAGCTCACCTGGATTGTTGTTACCAGGATCCTTGCTCCGCTACCATGTAAAATGCAGCAGCTGTTTTGTTTGTCGTTTATGCACGTCACTGTATTGCTTTCCTCTGGCAGCTGTCCTTAGCCGAAGTTAGGCTCAAGGGCTTGATCCAGGGTGCATTGCCAAGCACCAAGCTGTTGTACATGAACACTACCATGGAGTAAATATGCAATTGTACAAAAGGTTGTATCTTGACATCTCTCCTTGTGGGTGTGGTTCCGGTCCTTGCTTCTTCTCCTCCTGCAGATCCCTTGTCCACCTTACGCGCCTTCTCTCCATCATCCCTGAAGCGTTCACTGGCAATATGCTCACAGCAGCATAGAACATGAAAGAGAAAGTTGACAAGCAGTTCCCTCACCTGCATCGATTTCTCTTCCTGCCACACAGATGGGAGAGAAAGCAGTAATATAGGCTGGCGGAAATCCAACGCTAAAGTTAAAGTTTCAATGCTGCCAAGCAGCAGCCATTCCCAGGGCCTGCAGGGGTGCGTTCAACACCGTAAGAGTGCAAGGTGCCATGAGTGAGCGCGCACCTATCGGCTGCTGACGTAGAGACCTGGATCATAATCTTACCATCTTCGGGGCCTGCTTTGGCCTTGGTCACTGGATTGTTCACATGTGGCGTCGTTCATTTCAAGAGAGTTTGCTCCATCCGTTGAGTCCCCTGCAGCATTTGTTTGGCTCTCGTCCATGTAAGGACTGTTGAAGCTGTGCTTGAGAAGCCTTGACACCAATGTTGCTGAGATGCCTTTAGACACAAAAACCTGGAAAGGACTGTTGAAGCTGTTGTTGAGAAGCCTTGACAAATCTGTTGCTGAGATGCCTTTAGACACCAAAAACTGGAAAGGACTGTTGAAGCTGTGCTTGAGAAGCCTTGACA